CAGTGTTTTTACTATGATATTCTGTGGGGAGTTTGTGTTCTGGTTCTGTCTTACTGGTGTTCTGTGTGCTTCTTGAGTCTGTATAGGAATGTCCTTCCTTAATTTAGGGAAGTCTTCTTCTATAAGCCTGTTGAAGATCTGGCCAGGGCCATTGGCCTGACATTCGTCTTCTTCCTGTATGCCTATGATGCATAGATTTGGTCTTTTCATTGTGTCTCACATTTCCTTTCCTCTGAGTTCTTTGAGTTGTTTTTCTGTGTGTTCGTTAAGTTCTTTGATCATATTTATGATTGTTCTTTTAAATTCTGTGTCATGGGGTTCTTCACAGTGATTCTTATTGTAGTATACTTCTGTAAAACTGGTGCATTTTGTTGGGAACATATTCTCTTGATTTTTCATATTATTTGTGTTTTGTGCTGCCAGTGTCTTTTACTGATTGTGTGTTCAAGCAGATTACAATAGGGAATTCTATTCTGCATTTGTTTAGTTTAAGTTTGGTTCTGCTTATATTGTTGGTATAGCTTGGTTGCTTTTTTTGCTCAGGTATGAAAAGTTATTCGATGTGTGCTTCAGGTTCTCACTTTTGATTTTTTTATTGGTGGGACAGGATGGCTGCAAGCTGACTAGTGCAGTGCTCTCCAGCAGATGAAGGGAATTCAAGGCTATGGGGTTCCAGTGGCTGGGTTCTGTCAGGCTAGTGAGGAGGGCTCAGGGAAGATGATCAGGAGGGAGTCATAGAGCTAAGGCTGGTATGAGATGCAGTAGGCAGGATCTGAGTTAAGAGGTGAGTAGGTGTTGGTCTTGAAGCTGAAGAATGCAGATAGTCTGGGTGCAGGGGAATCAGGACAGTGTGTGGGGTCTGGGCTAGGAGGCTAGTCCAGAGATCTGAAGCAGGAAGATCATGACCAGGCCTAGACCCAAGGCTTGAAGAAGGACAGCAGCAAAGTGGAATGGAGCTGCTCAGGGTGCAGGGGAATCAAAGCTCTGTGGGAGGAGTCTGACCTACCAAGGTAGCAGCAGGTCTATGGCAGACAGATCAGGAAGCCAAGGGCAAGGCAGGGATGGGCACAACCTGTGGAGGTCTAACAAACTAAGCTGGAGAATGCAGCTAGTCTTAGTGCAAGGGATTGGGACACAGTGGGCAGGGTCTGGACAAAGAGGCTAGTCCATAGATCTGAGGTGGAAAGATCAGGAGTAGGCCTAGGCCCATGGCTAGAAGGGGAACAGCTTTCAGAAAGAGAATGGAGCTGCTTAGAATGCAGGGGTATCAAGGTGCAGTGGGCTGGGACTCTCCTATCTCTCTTGTTGGTTCCTTCCTCTCCCTCAAATAGTCTTCCTTTTGTTTTTTTGTCACATATGTAAATATAAGTGCATATTTAGTTAAATATGAACTCTTCATCTGAAAGAAAATACATTACATCTTGTCTTGCTTCTCATTACATTGTATCCCCTGCTCTTCCTTTAGGTCTCTTAATATGAGAGAAAGCATGCGATGTCTGCCTTTTTGAACAATATCTTATTCTTAATCAGAATCCTTAAGGGTGCATAAGGGATCAGATATTAGGGCTCATTTTGCTTTTGAAACGAGCAAGAACACACAGAGGAAACTTAGACCGAGTTTATGCCTCAGCTCTGCTAACTCCCATGCTTCTTGTCTGTCTTCATCTTTGAAGGAAAAGGAGAAAGTAAACCTTCTGAATAACCTTAAGTAGAAGTATTGATAAAGAGATTCTGTGGGAATTAGTGAGAACTTCAGGTTATTGTTGTCTTGAATTTATGGGCTTCTCATCATCATAATAATAAACAATATGAATGTCGGAAGAATGAATGGATGTGTTTGGAAACTGCAGCCTTCAGAAAGTTAAGATGTTCTAGATATGGTAAATAGTATTTTGTTCCTAAGAGTGCACACATGTGTGTGTACACACATGCATTATACACACCAATCTTGGAAAAAGAATTGTACTTATAATTGAAACATGAAATATCTACATCTAAAGGAAACAAAATATTTTTTATACTTTATTTCCCATAACAGTAACAGAAAAACCAAAAAGTAGAGTCAAAGAAAGAATAAGAAAATAAACAATAAGACCAGACAATATGAGGTAAGGACATTTTCAGGGTGTCATTTGGCCAAAGAAATAGTCTAGGAGCTTTCAGTGTGAAAAGGTTTTTCACTGTGAGAAACGAGATGCTGCCATTATACTCCTCCAGGGTTACTTTCTTTTTTCAAGAATTCAATCCCTCTCACCTGTGGCTCAGGAAAGCCTCACAACTTCAGCATTCCAAAGATCAAAAGTGTTCTCATTTTCACATGGCCCCTGTGCTTGGCCTTCCAAGCCAGCTCAGTACTAGCACTGGCTTCATCCTAAGGCATCAGAAAAGAAAAACCTCCCTACATGTGAGCACTGACCATTTCAGATCAGCAGTGAAGAGTGATGTTTCACCTACTTCAGAATTGATTCTCTCTTCAAACAGTGCTGATTTCTGGGCCTCCCTTTGGCCTCTGAGTGAAGGGCACAGAAAGACAATTCTATAGAAAACCAATGGAAACCACTTCCACATCAGTGTAAATCCTAGTAGCTATAACCTTACCAGAGCTACAATCCTCCCAGCTCACATAGGCTGTAGGCCAAATCTCACCAGATGAAGTGAGTGTCCTAACAGAAGATAATGGTGGAAAATTAAAAGGGCAAAGAAGAAACCCTGTTATTTTTTCAGTGTTCAGTTTTGTCTCTAACATAAACCTCCCTCCTTCATCAAATTTTGTGTCTGAAAGACTAAATGAGAAACAGTTATTTAGGTCCCTGCTTTCTACGTAATTTAATGAATGTCTGCATATGACTGATTATATCCTCCCTTGACAGTTAACTTGTTCACAGAGGCTACTCTGGTCCTGTGGATGCTGATGAATCAAATCCAGCTCACCAAAGTTTGAGTCATCTAACATGGTTCGGAGGTCAATTCCAGGTCCAAAACAGTCAGCCTAAAGGTTCTCTAGGTGGGCCTCAATGGAAGCAAAGATAACCAAAGTTTTTCATTACATAGAATATACTCCAAGCGACATCTGTCCACTTTAGTCCCCTTCCTTCATATAGACACTATTTAATTCCTCATCTTAATTTCAAGCATCATTCTTTCAGAATTTCCCTTATGTTTCCTAATTGATATCTGTAAGGTATATGGTCTCTTGAATCCATGTTCTCTGTTTTCAAAAACCTGCCTCGACCTTCAATTATAATCTTATTATACTATTTGATTCGTATCTGTTTTCCCAAAAGATGAATATCTCATGTGTATCCTCTTCTTTCCAGTTTTGCATCTGGCACGTTGGTCTTAATTACCATCTCCTTCCCCAGAATTACTAACATAACTCCGTTTAAATTCACAAAAAGGAACCACTGCTGTTCCCTTCTCTCCCTTTTCATTCACATCACTCCCTTCCCCTCTGCTCCCATCCAATCCTTCCTTTCCTCGCTCCCTTCCTTCCTTTCTTCTCTGTGAAATCCTAGTACTAGACTATTATGAAGGAACCAACAGCAGGATTTAAAAGTTATATTTCCCCATTGATTCATCTATGAAAATCAAGTTTTCAAGCCATTATCCCTCCTTCTCAAACAAATTTGCAAAAAAATTGTCATAGTTATGCTAGATCTAATGGACATTATTTTTGTCCTTGTCTTTTTTGACCTCTCAGCAGTCTTTAGTAATGTTGTCTTTCTACATACATATTCCAAGACACATCTTTGTTTAGCTCCTTTCTCCCTAGCATACCATAAATTCAACATGGGTAGAAAAGAGTTTTTGATTCATCACTGAAATGAGTCATCCTCTGATAGTTTTTCTTTCAGAAAAGGCATCAGTGCCTCTTCTCTTATTTAAGCTAGAAATAAAGGATTATGTTTGATCACTCTCATAACTTACCACAGTATCTAATAGCGTTGATTTTAACATGCAATATGTATGTATACACACATATATATCGAGTTAGATATAAAATGTGTCTACTTCTCTCTACTTTCACATCTTGTACCTTGTTCCAAATTGCCACCCCCTTTTACGTGAAGCACTATAAAAGCCCCATAGATTATGTCAGAGCCTCTAGACCCCTCTGCCTTTCCAAATCGATTATCTCCACAGAAGCCAGAATCTTATCTCTTTTTCAAAATCTAGACCTGCTATTGTCACACTATGCCTTGCTTAAAGCCCATCCAAGACCAACTGCTTTGAAAACAAAAGGGGAAAGAGCTCGTTAGACCCTGTACTGCCATCATGTACCTACTTCCCAGCCACAGCTTGTTCCATGCTTTTTCTACATTCAACCACACTGTCCTCTGAGTTCCAGGAACATCACATGCTGCCTCCCTCCCTTTTGAACACTTTCATACTTGATGTTCCCTCTGCTCCAGTCTCCACATCCCCCACACTATTCTGTTCCTAGCCTTTCTAGCTACATCAATTTTCTTGATTACATGCTTTCTTTTTAATCTCACTAATATTGTTTTCAATTCTCTGTGTGTTAGTGTGTTTCTTTAATCAACATCTGTCTGCTCCCACAAGACCACAAATTCAGTAGGTACAGAATCTAGGACAGATTTGCTCAATCCACTAATCTCAGAACCTAACAGAGTGCTTAGAGGATCACAAATGTTTCAAAAATATTTGAAAGACAAATGAACAAAAATTTCACCATTTTCATTTTCTATTTTAGTTTCTTAGCCCAACAGTAGTTTTAGGTTGGAAAATAACAAAGTAAGTGAACTGGGAGGGACATTTCACATGGAATATTTCATGGCACCTTATTTAGAGAAGCCAAAAGAGTGTTCTAAGTCTAGGAGACAAATGGTAAACCTTCATCACAGACTTTTTTCTGAATTCAAGCATTCAAGCATACCACTTGGAATTCATGAGGATACTGTTTCTTTCTCTCTCTCCTCTCCTCTCTCTCTCTCTCTCTCTCTCTCTCTCTCTCTCTCTTTCTCTCCTTTTTGTTTCAGATATTCTGACAAAATTAAAGGGCCTTTGTCAACCAGGACAAAAGCAATCGGGCTCTGAATGCATTTGTATGTCTCCAGAAGAAGACTGTAGGTAAGAAATATTCTATGAACTGTGTTTCCAAATTGAGAAAACCAATGTAGAAAACCAAGGTGGACGCTCCTAAACTCCTACAACTTGGAATAACAAGGTTTTTTTTAAAGTTTTGAACAGCTTTATTAAAGAGAGAACTGGACACTTCCATGGTCCCTTTCCTTCTGGAGATTGGCAGACACCCTGAACAACCATCCCCACCCCCACTGGCACTGGTTTTCAGAACAGGAACTTGCTCAGACTCCCTAAGCATGGCTTGGCCTCCTCCTGCCCAGGGTGGATCTGGAGATATGAAGCCTCTCTTTGTTGCCCAGGTTTGAGATGAATGAGTTCAAAGGCTGTTTAGAGCTCATTTTTCTAAGTTATAGGAGTTTCCACCTTCAACTGTACTTAGCAGGGGAAAGGCAGGCTTTTTTTTTTTTTTTTTTTTTTTTTTTACAAGCCCAACGATTATTCTTTTTTCAGCTAAAAACAGGTCATATTGCATGGTCTAAAGGTTAGAGAATTCCCCAGTGGTACCACTGTGAGGCAGTGGAGGCAGACAGATCTTGCTCAGGGCTTCAGGATAAAAGCAGAGCAAGTGCTCTGGAAGCTCACATCTGGGAGGCAACTTCTAGAAAGAAGCAGGTCCCCAGGGGAATAAAGTATTATGACTATGGACTTTGCACACACACATACACACCACACACATACCACACACACATACACACCACACACATACCACACACACACATACACACCACACACATACCACACACACATACACACCACACACATACCACACACACACATACACACCACACATTTGTGCATGTGTGCACACAAGTTTGCTGGTTAATTCTTTCATGCTGGGGCAGAAAACATAAATTTTAAAAAATTGGATGTCTTCAGATGACTTCCATCACTATCTCCTTTTGAAATATAACTATCTTTTCTTTACTGGGCAAATCTAGGGGTATCAATATTGCTTATAAATTTTAAGCATTCATTTCAGTTGAACATGAAAGCAAATCCAAAGTAGCATTCAATTGAGACAAAATTTTGGTTCTCATCTCACAATAAAAATGAGTATAGCATGGTGAGTCTCTTATTTATTTCAAGACGGAGACTCCTTCCAATTTCATGTTTTACCCCCTCTAAGACTATTTATGGTCTGAGATTGCTCTGCTAATGCCAGAAAGAAGAAGGATTTCAAACGAAGCATTCTTATTTTGTTTTACTGGAAAACCCTCCACTTGTGAACTTTCTTTTATTCCCATAGTTACCTGTAAGTAAGGCTGGGGAGTGCAGTTATTTGACTGGATGCATAGTCATTCTCAGTAAAATTTGAGTTCAGCTCCTGAGATGGTAAAAGAATGGATGTTGCAGAGAAAACCAACAGACTATTAACTGATTAGCTTTCAGATTCCTCTGTGGTACAGGTGAACAAGAATTTGTAGATACTCAGTCATTGTTTGGTAGAGCACAATGGGGCCTTTTTCTACATAATTCCACCAACATGAATCAGCCCAAAGTTGACTCTATTTGCCCTCCTCGGCTTTTACCACAAATGATTTCTTGCCTCTAGAGTCTCCTTCCCAGCAAATGGTTTTCTGGAAACTACTTAACAGTATTCACACTGCACTTTTAACAGAAGCTTCTTTCTTTGTGCAATACCAAATCTTGAGCATATATGCTACTTCCTAGAGCTCCTATCCCAACTCTACTATACTTCTTCTGTCTCTTCTTATATACCTCCATTCTCTTCTGTAGGGGTGAAAGTGTTTTGAGAGTGGCTAGCCCACATCTTAATTTCTCAGAACAAAGTAAGCAATATTTTGTTCTCAGCTATAAGCTCTACTTCTTGCAATAATCTTATACACTGGTGCACAGATTGTTAGCTTGAAAATGCATACTGGGGAAGGAACTCAAATTTGGAGTAATCAAAGAGCTGTCTTCTCAGCAAGAGAAAAACTATGATCACTTATTGCCTCTTAGTAACAGTATGGATTCATGGATTAAGCAATTTACCCAGGGGATGATTTAAAGTCTAATGCTCCAAATCACAGAACAAACACATTTGAAAAGTTATGTAATTTTATAAATTCTATATGACAGGTACTAAATTAGTGCTGCAATGAATAAGTATTTTAGAATGCCAAGGAGATACAAATTATGGGATAAGTTTCAAAGTGCAGCCAAAACTAAGCTCAACATAGGCAAAGAAGAGAAAAAAAATGAGTGCTGTTGGCCACCAACAGCGAGAAATAATAAAGTTTAGAAACTAATCAATACAATTACCAGGCAGTAAGGAAAGACTGAGGAGGATGGGAAAATAATACAGGACAGTTGATTGGAGTCAAAGCATAGAAAATCTTGTTTATTCAATTTTTCTGACTTTAATTTGAAATCATTTGGAAAGAATGCCAAAATTAAATTAATTTAGAAAGATGAGTCTTTGATAACCACACCAGATGAAATAAAGGATGGAAAGAGAGAGATTGGCAGTGGAAAAAAAAATCAGCTCCGGAAAACTGAGTGGTAAGTTATTAAACTGACTCTACGTCACCTGTGTTTTCTGGTCCTCACATTTATATTTATTTTCCTCCCTCGGGCAGCAGTTATTCGGAAGACCTCTGTGTATTTGATGCGAGATCAAATCAGTGCTTTACTTCACCTGCTTGTAAATTTTTGGCTGAAAAATGTTTAAATAACAACCGTCTCCATTTTCTGCATGTTGGCTCCTGCCAAGAGGGCCCACAGTTAGAATGGGCTCTTGAGAGGATAAAACTTGCATCCAATAGCACAAAGAAAGAATCATGTGGTTATGACACTTGCTATGACTGGGAAAAATGTTCAGGTAAGTTACAGTGGTAACGTATGCTAGAAATGATCAAAATGCTCAAAATTCTACTCAGCGGGGTGTATCTTCTTTACATTTATGCATCATATTTTAAAATATCTTTTCCTAAATCAAAAATTATCTTTATCACTAAAATGTTAATGAATTAAATATATACGACAAAATATAACCAACTACAATGAAAAATCACTACCTTAATGTCTTAGATGTACATCTTTCAGTCTTTTCCTACACTCGTTTACTCAGCATTAGTAGATCCCAGTAAGAGGAGCATTTGCTCTGCTCATCTGTTGGAGGCAGCCCTTCCCATACCCCATCTAGAGGAGACTAGTCAGAACTGGTTAGGACCCAATTGGACCAACAATGCTGTCCAGGTAACATTGGGTTTCACATAGATACCAAGTGTTAGAAGCTTTTTCTTTTAATTTTTTTAGTTTCTCTTCTAGTGCCTGAGACTATCCAAGTCTGTCAATAATACTCAAGCAGACACCATGAGCAAGCAGAGTCCCACATGGACTCAAGCACTAGTTTCCCCCATATAATCTCTGACCTTCCACTGCTTCTCCTGACCACCATCTTTGAGGTCAATCAGATGCCCTCAGAAAGCTCTGTGATGCGTGCTTACAGTGTCATTTCTGATCCAGATGCAGATTACCATTCCCAGAGTACAGCCTAGGGAGCAAATTGTTTCCATTGGACATCAAGGGCTGCTTGTTCAAGAATGCTTAAAGCTGGACTGCCAATATGATCTGACATTCACATTTGAGTGACTATTTGTAAAGCTAGCCAGCTCCATTAAAATTTTTTCCCTGGTGGCTCATATATCTCATGTGGCCCTGTATGCAATACATACTTGTAAAAGATAAAATGGGACTATATTTTATATATTTTATAAATTGGCATTTTCACTTAATATAGCATAAAACTGTCTCCATATCTTCATATTATTGTTACATAATTTCCAATTTCTGAAAAAGTCCACATGCAAATATTAAATATGATTTTATTTATTCAATGCTCAGAAAGATTAAATTTTCCCTATGTTGTTATTATAAATAGTATGTTGTGAAAAACAAATTTATCACAAAAGTTCTGTTAGTCTAAGATTATCTTCTGTATGCCTTAGAAAATAAAATTTCTAAGTAAATACTATTTTTAAAATATAAACTTTCACCGATATGATGTATTAACCCATGTTCCTGAAATGTTTTGCCATACTGTATTCCACTCTATTGACACTTGACAGTGGCTGCCCTCTCTCCCTCATTGACTGGAAGTCACACTTCTTTCCAGTTTGCCAATTTAATTCCGAACCTGTGGCACGGATTTTCATTCTCCTTACATGTGTTGCTATTTTGTATCACATGCATAAATTTCAGGGAAGCAGAGACTTCACAACCATGCAATTGCTCCAAAATAAAGACTGCCCCTGAAATAGGCAAGCAGTTTCATACAATATACGAAAATGGTTAGTGTTTAGGAGTCACCAGAATTCAAATAGGCAGCTAGATTTCCCTTATGACACATTTTCCAAAACAAAAATGTATCTTAAATCTGGACATAAAGCGCACAGTGGAAACTGGTGGAATTGCTCCATCTAATTTTTTCTAAAGCCATCTCGTGTTTGTAAGTATCTACTTTCACTTCCTGGACAAAAGTTCTTCATCTCTGAGTTTAGAGAAAGAAACATCTACCCAAATTCACATCCTTCCTGATCAGTTTAAAGCTAATTATGAAAATCAGCTTATTTGATGGGCCACAAGATATGACAAAGAGGTGACATGCTGCACAGAAAGCAGACCACCTGATGGAGCCCTCAGCCAGGAAGACAGTAGAATACCTGAGATTTTGGCCTCCATGCATAATCTGAACAGGACAATTCCACACACAAGACAGAAAACCAGAACCCACTGTGTATGTCATCCAGCTCTAGTCACTATGAAATCATCTTGTATATAAAACCTCTAGCATTCATGTTTTAGCTATCCGGGAAACACCATTAACTCTCTGACATCTCTCTCAGAAACAATAATTTGTGGTAGAAAAGAGCTGCAAGTATTAAGCAGAATCCTCTTTGTATTTAAATATAACCATTGTCTGAGAAATGTCATCCAAGAATGTTATTGTTGGCCAGGTCTCTGCCTCCCAAGTGCTGGGATTAAAAGCATGGGCTACCGTGCCCAGCAGCAGGAATGATTTTTTTTTTGAATGGCACAACTCTATTACACTAGGTAAATCAGGGGTTAGAAGTATGTTTAGGGTTCATCTCCCATTCTTCCTTGATATAGGGAAGGTCTTCATGGAATTCTTCCATTAAAAAATACTTTATTTAACTTCTTCCACAAACTATTTTTCTATTTTGAGTTAAAAACAGTCAGTGAAGAGTTGAAGAGAAGTCTCAGCCATTAGGATCACTGGATGCTCCTGCAGAGGATCCTCATTCAGTTCCCAGCACCCACATAGTGGCTAATAAATCCATAACTCCAGTTCCAGGGATGCCAATGCTATCTTCTGGCCTCTGTGAGCATTGTATGCACAGGTACATTTATCCTACATGCAGGCAAAACATACATACTTTAAAAAAAAAAAAAACTGAAGGTAAAGAGAATGTTTAACCTACTTTTGGTCCTTTTTCAAATTCCATTCTTGCAGAGCGTTATTAGATGAGCGTCAGCAGAGCTCTCCAGCTGTTTTCACATGTCGAAGTGGGGCTCCGTATTCAAGCACTATGGTGTTATTTCAAACCGAGGAAACTTATTATTGAAAGATGAGTGTTGGTTGCCATCATTTTGACTGCTGTTTGCATTCTTTGTCTAATTTTGTGTTTCCTCAATTATACCTTTATTTTCTTTTGTTGCTCCTGGGGTATAATTGTTTCTTTCTCTATTTTTTGTATTGCTCCAAGTATTCTTTGAAGGGCTGTTTTCGTGGGCATGTATTCTTTCAGGATATTTGTATTGTGGAAGATGGTTTTTTCCCCCTCAACTGTGGAGAAAAGAAAGTTCTTAACTGGTAAATAGGGGATATGAAGGAGAAGTAAAGGCAAGAGTAGTTAGCATTACAAGTTCTAGACGGGGAATCAGGAAAAAAATCAGAACAGGGCAAAGTTCAAATGTTCATATCAGAGTCCATTGGGATTTCTTGACAAGAGCTTCCAAAAGCATCCAAGCATCCCTCTATTCGGTTCCTTCTCTCTCTCTCTCTCTCTCTCTCTCTCTCTCTCTCTCTCTCTCTCTCTCCTCTTTTTTATCTGCCAAGGCTGGACTCGAGAGTGATGAACTCCGGATTTGTTTTCAGGTATTTTGTTAGCTGTTGGAGTGGGTAGAATCAGTGTCAGTTCCTTCTCAAAGGCTTCTAGATAGGGGGAGAAAACAAATTCAGCCATCTTTTTAGAATAATAGTGGGTTATCTCCCTTAGCTACAGGTGGGCACTACAGTATTGCAGTCCAAGATTTGAAGTCTTACATCTAAGCAGCACTTTTGAGGTAGGAATTGGCTAGGCAGTTAGGGTTACAAAAAAAAAAACAAAGAAAAGTAGCCAGTTTCTTGGCTAAAAGTCAAAATGTCCTTGGGCCTCTTAGCAACATAATCTGTTCCAAAGGCCAAAAATGTCAAAAGTATTTGGAAGCTCTTATGAAATCCCTGAAAGATTTTAGGGTTACCTCTTCAGAGTAGGGGAATGTTAGAGTAGCAAAAAGCCCCATTAGAAAGAGAGAAAGAGAGAGAGAGAGCGAGAGAGAGAGAGAGAGAAGGTGGGCTTGGGACCTCCATCTGGGGTCTGACAGAGCAGTCATTCCTCCCCTCCCCCCCAGAAGGAAGGAAGGAAGGAAGGAAGGAAGGAAGAAAGAAAGAAAGAAAGAAAGAAAAAGAAAGAAAGAAAGAAAGAATACACGAAGTGAAAAAGAAAAAAGTGATGTGGAGATATGGGAGGTGTTGGAGGGGAGGGAGTAGATATGGATTTGATCAAAACACCTTATATACATGTATGAAACTCTCAATAAAGTTTTTTTTAAAGTGAAAATACTAAAAAGGTTGAATATTTAGCCAACATTGCTCAAATCAGAATGTTTGGAAGTAATCAAGAGCACATTTTCATTTATTAATAATAGACTTATTTATATGATTATAATAACAGTTTTGATCTTGTACATAGAAAACCCCAAACATTTTCCCTAAAATAGATGCACTCCTTCTACCAGTCTTATAAAAATATTTTAATTTATTCCTTGACAATTCCATACATGTATACAGTGTTTCTTCATCATATCCAGCCCAAATTTTCCCCTCCCACTTCCACTCCTCCCATCCCCTATGTTTCCCTCTCCCACCTTTATTATTTCCTCTTATTCCTCCTCCCCCTCCTCCTCCTCCTCCTCCTCCGCCTCCTCCTCTTCACAACCCACTGAGTTCAGTTACTGCTGCCTGTAGGCACATGGGTGTGGGACCATCCACCTGAGCATGACAATCTACCAAGGGCCACAGCCTAGAAGAAAGTGACTCTCCTTCCCACAACAGCCAACAATTGTCAATAGCACCTCAGCTCAGAGTGGAGCCTCACAAACCCCTCTCCCCTCCATGCTGTAATGTTGACTGGCTTGATCTTGTGCAGAAGGTAACCACATCTGCTTTGAGTTCACAAGTGTCAACGGCTATGTCATGTTCAACATTTCACAGCACTCCTCCCCATCTGCCAGCTCTTATATTCTTTCTATCCCCTCTTCCATGATGTCCTCTGAGCCTTGGAAAAGTTTAGGGTGAGCACTCAACAGTCAGTTATTCTCAGCACTTTGACTAGCTATGAGTCTCTGTATTGACTACTGCCCATTACAAAAAGAAGCTCTAAGGTTTAGTGCAGGACTAATCATTTAGTATAAACATAAATACTTAGAAGCCAGGTTCCCGACTAGGACCCATGACCTCCCCAAGCATAAGCTTTTGATCCAGTTTACAGTACCAAGGACCAATTCCCTTCTGTGGAGTGGGCCAAAAACCCAAACAGAAAGCAGTTAGCTATGCCTCTACCAGTCTTTAATTGTAATCAAAAGTCAGCAACATAGTGAATTCCATTTGGAATAGCACTGTAGAATTGCACCAGTGTACAAACTAATGCATTTACAAAGGAAGAGAAAGCTGGAAATGTATTTTATACCCGATGCACTCATAGCAAGTTGGGTTACCAGTAATTTTAAGCTGAATTGAATGCCACTGTGATTAAACTATCTCCTTGATTACATTGTGCTCTTTGCTGTTCTTTTCCTTCCCTATATAAAATGAAATAGAAAGACGTTTAAAGTGGTATTTCAGTGTAGTATGAAGTTCTCTTTTCAAAACTTGAAAAAGGAAAGGCTCCCTTAGGGAGCCTATTTTTATGGATATTAAATGTTCTGTCTGAATTACAAAAATATGCACTACCAACCAACAGGAAGGGCAAATTCATTCATCAAAACCCATTTAACATTAAACCTGTGGAAGTCACTGTACAAGTTCATGAGGGGGCTGAAGAAAAAGGACTCTTTGTTCCCCCTCAAATTGTTCACAGTAGTTGAAGAACTTACATTAAACAATACTTTCATGACTCACTTTAACACATGCAATGTGATAAGAGATGTAAGAGAAAGAAATGTTTTCTGACCTGAGTCTTATAACCATAGAAAAGTATGAGAACTGAGTGTTAAAGAATTAATTTCTAGGAGTGGTAGAGAGGGACTTGGGTGCTGAAAATAAATAGGCTCAGGGCATTAGGTCCCAGGCAAATTGCTGAACCTCTCTGTGCTCAGTTTGTTCATCTGTAGAACTAGTAGGATATGATAGATCATATACTTTTAAGGTTTCAATAAAATAAAATATGTAAAGTATCCAGCATAAAGTGTTGTTTCAGAGTTCATGTTCAATAAATAGCAGCTATGGTGTTTGAAGGAAAAGTGCCAAAAGAATGTAACAGGCAGAACCGACTAAAGACTCCACATAACTGGCCTAACAGAGTGAGAGGGAGAAGTTGGAGATCGCTCAGATCATCCTTCCTTTTTTTTCATTGAATTTTTGCAATTCTCATACAACATATTTTTATTGTATTTAGAGCCTCTTCTTCTCTTTACCCACTTAAGTAAAAGGTAAAAGAAAACAGGAGGCCCATGCACCACCCTGATGTCTGCAGGCAGGCGTTATATAGATCCTTAAAAAAAATTGCTTGATAGCTTACCATCACTGGCTTAAACAGGGGACATGGGAAGTGAAGGAGGTAAAAGACATCCAGGAACCCAACACTGTTCATCAGACATTACAGCCAGGGCCCTTCTAGATTCAGTCTACATTTTGTAATTAAAACTCATTTTAAATTATTGTCTAGCAATCTAATCTGAAAGGTAGCACTGGGAAAAAAAACCTTCAGCCAGGGTCTAATGAGTTAAGATGCAGTCTTTAACATTTGTAAATTACCAGCGGAAAGGGGATGCAGGAGGTATGCGATGGAAAGGGGCATGCTATTTAGGCTGCTTGGTGGAAAGTCCGATGAAGAACAGAAGAATGATGTGGGGCACATGAGAGTCACACTAGCTTTCATGAGGGCCCTGCTAAGAGCTATTAAACAAGGGCCACTGATAAGCTCTGTTTGACAACCATCACCTTACCAGTCCTCACAATACCAGTCACAGATGAAGAAATGGGATGGGCAGAGATGACAGCAGCCTGGAGGTCTGACTCAGAGAGTTCAGATAAACTGAGGGCTTTTGGAGTCCTCTATGCTGCAGGTCCACAGTCAAGCTGTAACACACACTAGCTATGCACCTCAAGTTCCTTAGGTTGTCAGGTATGGTGCTGCATGTCTTTAAACCCAGGACTCGGGAGGCAGAGGCAGGTGGATCAATGTAAGATCGAGGCCAGTCTGGTCTACATAGCAAGTTCCAGGCCAGCTGGGGCTACAGAGAGACCTTGTCTTAGAAAAACCAAAAAGACAACAACAACAAAACAAAATCAAGTTCCTTAGATTTATAAGCCTATCTGCAAACAGGATTGTGGGGATTCAGAGTTAGGTTCTACCACAGTGTCTAGCATATAATAGCTTCTAGTAGTACTTATTACTGTGATTATGAACGATTACAATTTAATGTAATATATATATATGTATGTATATATATATATATATATGCCTATAGAGTCTAATTTGTGTCCCAATATGTACTTCAGTGTGGGTTCATCCACTGGAGCCTGATTAACCTTACAAGAGTCAAACCCTTGAAAGAGACTGTTTCTCCCCCTCCCAGAAGCCATTGGCCACTAATAGTTCCTCAGGTAGGGTTGGAATTTTGTACCCACTTCCCCAAGTCTATGCTGGGCTTTTGTCTGATTTGCGCTTACACGGGACTTGTGCATACTGTCCCATGAGTGACTTATCAGCTGTCTGGAAAACTCTATTTCCTTGTGGTCATCCACCTCCTCTGGCTCTTACAATCTTTCCCTTTCCATCCCCTCTTCTGCTATGATCCCTGAATAGTTCAAATCTTGATTGTATGGGGGCCACAAGACACAGGAGCAGTTGGCTATAGCCCAACTCTGGAATCCTACTGACTTTGAAGTACACTCTGCTGTCTTCACTCTTATCTGCCATCTAACCACAGTCAGGTCCTTTGGGACGTTGTTGGTGTTTCAGCTTTCTCCTTCATTGCTACCAAGGAGCTCACTGCTCTGTGAAAGGGTTAAGAAAAATCAAGCTGCACGGGACTGTGATGAGTCATTCTCTCTCTCTCATTGCAGCCTCCACTTCCACGTGTGTCTGCCTGTTGCCCCCGCAGTGCTCAAAGGACGAAAACCATCTCTACTGTGTCAAAATGGGATCATCAACACGTGAGAAAACCGTAACCATCTGCACTGTGGGAGCTGTGAGATGTGCAAACAGGAAGGTAGAAATACTGCACCCTGGGAGGTGTTTGGATTAGCACAACTACTGATCAATGGATTTGCTATTCAACAGCAATGCCTATAAAAATGGGGAGGGGGTACACAGGGCCAGGGAGTGTGGAAGAGGGTGAATGAAAACAAAGTATGAACACATATGTATGATATGACAATGCCATTATGAAAACCATTACTCTGTATAAACTAAAAAATTATTTTTTTAAAATACGCATTATATGAAGAGAAAACTGGAATTGCCAGAGATTACTGAATGAAATTCTTTTGTGTTGATTTCTTACCATTAACCTGCCACGAACTCTCCCATTTTATCATCTCCTGTCTGATTCAGCTCATGTCACCCTATGGCATATTTCTAGATTATAACTTCCATGTTATATTTTGGATGTCCTGGAGTGGCTCTAGGATTATGATCTTAAAATTCTAGTACTCTAGTGAGATAACATTGAAGTTAACTAAAGGGTCCCTTTTTAGACAATCTTTAGTAAAGATCACAACAGTTTAAATATATTATTGGGTTTGGTTTTGTTTTTTTTTTCTCTCTCTCTCTCTTTTTACAAAAACCTTCCACTCCCACAATCAGTGCTGCTTAGTTTAGAAGGTTGAGTGTCTCTGTTGTTTCCAACATCACTCACAAGTTGCACCTCATCCACATCCCTGTCTAAATTATAATTCTCAACAAGAACCTGATGGATAGAGATGCTTCTGGTTGGCATTGGCTGCCAAACTACTGTGACGCTGGATTAATTGGATTCTAAATGGTTGGCTCCCTCTAAGGCCACCTTTGTTCTTTTGGAACACACTGCAAGTGGAATCAATGAAGCATCCTACTTCTAACCAAACAAATGGCCTGCAAAATTATAGCTGTATTCAGTCTGTTTTATACATGTGAGACAGGCCACTGCTATCCTATTTGTTTTCTTGACAAGTTCTGGCTGCACAGTTTTAGCTCCACCTGTCCAATGTCAGTTAGTGATGGTGCATGTCACTAATCAAGGGGCTCCAGGGAACAGATGGTACACTGAAAGTCATACTCACAAAGATTTACATACAAAATGCTTATCACAACAATATTTATAACAGCAAACAATGACAGATCTTAAATATCCAGTAATAAATTATGAATATGCCAAATGATAGCCAAGTATGGAGTCATTAACATCTTTTTTAAATGATTTTAATGAGCATAATAAAAATTTAAAGGTATTTTTACACATACACGTTCACATCACAGTTGTATGTATACAAATACCTTTGGTTCAAAGTCAGTCTCCACTAAATAGTAAGTTTGAGACCATTCTGGGCTACATAAGTCTTTGCCTCAAACAAAATAAAGGAACCAAAAACACAGTAGTCACCAGCACTGACATTTTCATGAACCTTCCCTTACTGAAGACAGCTTCATAAAGAAGATCTACAAGAAGTACATCAAATATTACATGAAATCACTCAAAGGCAAGCTTGAAGAACAGAACCCAGGATGAGTCAAGCCCTTTGTCGCTGGAGCTGCAGAACAAATCAAGCATTTCCTTGCAAATTTCAGAAACTTCCGTTTTTTTATTGGTAAAAACATGAATCCAGACAGCATGGCTGTTGTGCTGGCTTAGCATGAGGATGGTGTGATTCCAGATATGGTTTTCTTTAATGATGGTTTAGAAATGGAAAAATGTTAACAAATCAAATGATTTTGGATCTATCACCTGTCACCACAATTTGTTGCTGCTTGTCTTCCATACAACACCAGGACTTAAGAAAATGGGACTGCTGTCATCTTGACCTCTTTTATTTTGACTGTAATTTATTTGGGGAAGAGGCATTGTTTTTCAATGAAAAAAATTAACTCAAAAAAACAAACAAACAAAAATGATTTGGGCCAGGCATGGTGGCACAAGCTTTTAAACTCAGCCCTAGGGGAGGGGGTACAGAAGCAAATGGATCATTGTGAGATCAAGGCAAGCCTGATCTACACAGTAAGTTCCAGGCTGGCTGGGGCTACAGGTAGCCCTTGTCCCAAAATAATGATAATGATGATGATTGGGAAAATAACATGTACTTCTGGAATTTGGAGTCATTTATTTATTTATATTCTTCTGCATCCTAAATTTTGTCTTCTAGATTTTACTCAATCTGCATGCATTTTTTTTGCAATTGGACATAAAAAGTCATTTAATTTTTTCTCTTCTTTGTGAGATCAGATAGTTAATTCTGCTGTGTTCACAGACTGATGGCGTGTATAGTGCAGACCTCTCTGATCTGGGTTTGTTAACATGCAAGAAGCTTGGCAGTTTCCACCAAACTTGTGAGTTTCACAGGCATCACTTATTCATTGTCAAGTGTGCTCTAAATGCCTCTCAAGTCACAGGAATGAGGTTTATAATTATGCAGATATTAGAGATGAGAGATTTTAAGGATACACTTAAATCAATATTGTACAAAATACAAAGCAGTAAGTGACTACTTAAAAAAAATTAAAGGTGTCACTGGGCATGGTGAGCACTCCTTTCAATCCCAGCACTCAGGAGGCAGAGGCAGGGAGATCTCTGTAAGATCAAGGCTAGCCTTGTAAGAGCCAGGTCAGCTGGGGCTACAGGGAGACTGTGTCCTAAAAACAGACCAAAAAAAAAAGTAAAATAAAGTAACAGTAGTCTTGCTCTGGAGTGTGTTACTGAATATGTTAAAGCTGTAATGAAATGCTACTTCTAATCATGTAGTTACTAAATTCTTTTTTAAAAGTATAAATAATGCCATGAAGGAATAAATGTTTATACTAGGGCCTGGCGATATGACTCAGTTGTTAAAGTGCATGTCACGCACACATGAATACCTGAGTTCAGATCCCCAGCACCAATGTAGAAAGGCCAAGGAAGGTAACACTTGCATCTGTAATCACAGCATTGGAGAGAGGAGAGACAGGAGGATTCCTGGGACTTACTATCGACTCAGTCTAACTGAATCAGTGAATTCTAGGTTTAGTAAGAGACTTGTGAGGAGAGTTGATAGAGTAATACATCCAACATCCACCTTGGATACACACACACACACACACACACACACACACACACACCGAGTTGATAGAGTAATACATCCAACATCCACCTTGGATACACACACACACACCCTGGATACACACACACATATACACACACACACACACACACCAAGCCTGAATCCTCAAAGTTGATAACAAAGATGCTGTGCTGGATAGCTTCAGTTGTCAACTTGGCACACCAGAGTGGAAGGAAACTCAACTGAAATTGTCTCCAAGGTGTTCTGTGAGGCATTTTCTTGATTGTTGACCAACGTGGGAAGGCCCAGCTCACTGTGGGCAGTGCTGTTCCTGGGCTGGTGGTCCTGTGTTATATAAGA